TACATATAATATGTCTGTGCGGCCGTATTACATGTGTTCCATTTTAGACGGCATGTCCAGACTTCAGAGATTTTCCGTTGAGCCGACATTCGTAAATGTGACGTTGCGGGCGGAAGAACAGCCGCGGGCTTCCGATCCGATAGAGTACTCGCGAGTGCCCAAGTCGCCAAAGTTCAAAGTCGCGAAGCCCAAAGTGCGGAGACGACCGCGCACGAGCCAAATCGTCCGCTTTATTTACGTCGTATTTTTACTTTTTTACGTCGACCGTCAGCTGTAATATATTTATCGAATGCATTATAGTTTGTATTATAATAATATTGTTATGTTGATTGTATAATGTATCACGTATTTTTATTATTATTAATGTTTATAGTTTTACTATTAATTTGGTAATTTACATACATATAGGCTTGTATTGACTTTTATAGGAATTGAGTTTACTTCGTATTTTAAAAGTATCTATTATATACTGATGTTTAATTTTTCGTTCTTCTAGCGAACTTTTATGTTATCAATGTTTTKTGCACTTGGCCTTAGTAGTTAGTATATCTTTAACMTATGTATTATGTTTAGTATAATATTATTTTATAAGGCGAATATTTGTATGCACACTCGMGCTCCGTATTATCTACCTATTTGTTAAATAAGCTGTTATACGAATACACAACATACATATTATATTTAATGCATTAATATYATAATAAACGACGTATTATTTTTATTTTACACTCTTTATAATTAATATTATTTTCAAACAATTATCAGTACCTATACCCCATACCGTATAATGAATATACCTATTTGCGTTTATTATTACAATATAGATTAAATATACGTTTGATGCATAATTGGATGCTGCTGCACATACAAACAGTAAGCATCAGTATTCGTGGTGTCTATGTACTATAGTTTCTTCGAGACTCTGAAAAGTGCCCTTACACCTACGTGTGTATAGGATAGGTAATACGACATGACGTTTACTGTCGCTTTGCCAGTCTTTTATAGTAGAATATTCAATATTGTATACCATATCATACTTTGCTACCTACTGCAGCGTGTCTCCGGGCTCCGGTGCGGAAAAATAATCTCCTTATTTGTATCATATTATTGTTCAAATAGTTTTTGTGGCTAAGTATTCTTTCTCTCTAGATAATTTTTTTTTTAATAATTTTATTCATATTATTAATTGGTTCATTTTGTGTAGGACGATTTTTGCTTCAATAAAATATTCGCTGATGTTAGACTATACATATATTAATTGTTAATAATTGTTACTAACTAAAATTTACTACCTATTACATAATATAATTCGTATGATTGTCATACATCGATATTTCATATGAATATCAATTTTATTTTRCTGCAGGTTAAAAAGATTAACAGAATTTTGTAGGCTATATAGGACTAYGAWAAAACAWACAAAAACACAGTTATAATGTTTATTAAAGTTATGAAATTTATTTTCCAATATAACTGCAATCATTAGTATCATAATATCGTGTACATAAAGGTGACTTATTATTACAGTTCACAAAACATAATATTATTGTACATCAGTTAATTAGTACTAAATATGTAGGATAATAAAACAAAAACAAAACATCATTTAATTTCTATTATCGTTTATTATTTTAATTCACATGACTTTCCTACATGATGTAAGAATCGTAGTATACGTTATGAGTAGACAATTACAATTAAACAAATCACAACAACACACACGTCTAAAAAATGTGTATCTTTCTCCGTTTATTATTTATACAGTTTGCACATTATAATATAAATAGACAAGCATGAATAATCATTAAAAGATGATCGCGTTGGTTTTTATAGTTATAGTATTTTAATTTTCTAAGTCATCGTATACAACATATACGAAGCAAAAGCGTAAGTTATAAGCATRCATACTGAAACATTTATATTCATTTTATGTTTCTATTTAATAATATGATACCAAATAGTTGTATTGTAGTTAAAATTTTTTTGTTTTCAATCATTTTCACGTTTTTAACTTATTTGCGCACCGAACAATTCTTAAGAACAGTGAGATGTATGAAAAACCAACACGACCTAACAATAATAAATTATAATACACATATATCTATCGCGATAGCTACAATAGCTCACTACCCGCATTTGGTGTAGGGTAGGGCGATTACARACAAATATTATTAAGAGATTTTGTGGCTAAAACGGTATTGATACAATCACGGGGTAGGGGTCGTTTTGTGATACGATCCCCTTATTTTTATTTTGCCTTAGCTTACATTCAAAAGGGTTAGATTCGCGACTGAAAATTTGAATAAGAAAAATATGAATAATATGAATATAATCGTAAACAAGGAGGGGCACGCCAAAGCGGGTGCCTGCCGTGGCGCACAAATTAAAAACAAATCAAATTTGTAAGTATTTATGAGCTATAAAAAGTTACAATCAAAAAGGTTTTATGATAAGACTTATAAAGTTATAAGTATGTCGAACGTGTCGAGTGAATTTATTTAAAATTACGTCGCCACTTTATTGACTTAAATCACCCATTAAATAATGGATGAGTGATAGATACAAAATATGATGACATGGTTATCGCATTGATTAGCTAGCATTTTAAGTGTTTTATAGTACCTAATCGTATAATCTGTGTACGAGCAAGGGTGGGAGTAGGAATGTACATAGAAGAGTTGCGTGGGGGCCGTACACTGCTATTTTMATTATTATTAAATGTTTTATCAAATATATACATATATTGTTAAAAATGTAAAAAACCACACAAGTGTGAAATGTTTTTATCGTTTCTCTGATTATTTTCGAATCAAATATCGTATTATAATACATTATGGCCTCCACAAAATTATTTATTGAACGATCCTGTTGATTTCTAGTTTAAGTGTTTAGATTTTTAAGTCGTCGCATAATCTATATACGAGACAAAACGCAAGTTATAAATGCACATATACAAAAATTAAATAGCAATATACGTCTTCTAGATACAGCCACATATATTATACTTGCCTTGTAATTTCAATCTTATTGTATTATGTAATTTTCGCGTACTTTATTTACGTACCGAACAAGTCTCATTAATATTGAGGTATTAAAAAATGAATGCGACATACCTAATTATACTTTATGTTAAGTATTATTTAAAAGATTAATTTAAACATTAACAAAAAATATAGCCTACATAATTCGTAGGTAAAGAAATTAATTTATCGTTTAGGATGGTCGCATTGATTTYTAGTTTAAGTGTTTAGATTTTAAAGTCTTTGTATAGCCTATATACAAGATAAAAACGCAAGTTAATAGTTATATGTATGGAGAATCATATTGCTACTTATATGTTTTCATTATACAGTTACATATATAGTTGCGTTGTAAAATGTATGATTATGTTTTCATTAATTTTCGCGTACATTATTTACGTAGGTACCGAATAGGCAGCTTTTTCAGTAAGGTTTTTACGAAATCAACTTGACCTAATAACAATATTATATTTTGATATTATTGGTATACCAATCTAACGCGTTAGTCAAAGCTTTCTGTAGGGTAGGACGAATACAAAATAATATCAATTGAGAGAACTTCGGTTAAAAACGAGGGCATGGCTCTTTTTATGGCTCAATTATTTTTWGATCGATCAGTAATAGTGACGAACAGATTTACCGAATTTATATAAATGTATACATCGTCGATTTATTATAATATTGCAAAGTAGAGAATCGTCGTAGCAGCCGGGGGTTGCGAGATTAAGGAGTAAAACATGTTACGTCAGAATTCTCTGTACCTAATATTTATATGTATAATACATGGTAATAATTTTAGAAGACAATAAATATATACTTAATAGGTATCATTTGGTGGTGTTTTGAAATAGGTACTCTTATAAATCAATGGTTATATACACTTACAACAGACATTCCTTGGTTAATGATGGATATAGACATTATAGACGATATAGTACCACTGTACCAAGTATACCTACTTAATATAATATTATGATCTACTAACAAACTCAACCCAATGATTGAAGCTAATCATTACATTTTTGACGCTAGCCTTTTAACCGGGTGTATGCTGTGTCCAGGAAATTCGACGGCGGTGGTTTGGGGTGGGGGCCTCAGACGCRGGCGAAGGGTTGGTCCCGGTGGTTCAGGATAACAACCGTATTCGGACCCCCCGTGGCTCGGACTTTACATAATTGAAATACGCTGCCTGGTCATGGTTAGAAAAAAAAGTACAATACACTACCCCTAACATAAAGACGTCTCCCTGTTCCCTAATCCGTCTAACAAGTAGTCCCGCCCGAACTAGGAATGATCGGCTTAGCTGAACTGGGTGGGTAAAAAAAGAGTGAATCGAGTACTACGGCGATGCGAGGGGCGTGCAGGCGGTTTGGGGCCTGGTCTGGAACTCGCCCAGGACACTCGCGCAACCTTCGCGTCGTAAGCGCCTTGGTCGGTGCACAGAACACCTGCATGGCCACGGTGGCTTAAGTGTATGATGAGAACTTCCGGAAATTAAAACTGGGACAAAATACAAAATCTCTAATATAAGTACCTAACAGTTATTAGAGCGAAATTATAATGATCATATTATGTTTTTGTAAGAAGCCGGTTTAATCGAGTACCTACTTGTATAGGCATTTTTTGTAACACGGTAATACCTACTGTTGGTGGTTCGACGACGACGAAGTCAGTCTTCCGGATCGTTATATTGAAATGACAATTGATTAACCAAGGTACAAAGTAATGTGAATATCTTAATTGTTTACTGAACGGAAGAATCGATTTAGATATTCAAGCGTAATTGACCTGCATAACGACGATTCTTCACTATCACAATAGACGTATATTATCTACATTATAACCAGTAACCAACGATAACCAAATCATCAGCCTACCTATATAGACTGCTATATGTGTAAACAAGTGTAATTACAATATTGTATATAAACATTATAATACGCTTATAATTTAATGTTGAATTTATCTTCTWTTTTGCAGCCGTCTTAGAAAAAATCAAAAGGTTCTGCCCACCATTTGGAAACTCGGACGAGAGATTTAGTGTAACGGTGTTGGGCACTAAGTCACCGGCGATAGGCGGATGCGTCTCCATGGTACCACCAAACCCCGACATATTGCCCTCATTTAATTTGTGGCTGGGCAATCACAAAGCCGGCGGCGGTGGAAAGTGCGGTGATAAAAGTACGTATAACAAATCATTATTATTACAGCACAAGAGGGGGGTGGTTGTGGGTCCTTCGTCACGTCCTTAGGTCCAAGAAACGTTTCCCCATCTAAAATCGGGTGTATATAAAGTATTATAATATATACCGGGTGATTCTTTTATCATTGAACACTCATTATTTCAAAAAGTATCAATGTTTTTGAAAATATTTTTTTACACAGTTTCATTTTGTTAAAAAAACAACGTTTTTATTAAAAAAATATGTTTTTTAATATTTTTTATCCTTATAATTTTTTAAGTTTTTACTTTTTTGAATGACAACCTAGACCTAGAGTTTTAATTTCATATTCCAAAGCAGAATATTTTTCTAAGTATTTTGATACGTAAAAATCGAATTTTGGACGAGTAGTTTATGACTGATTATGAGTTATAAGTATTTTAAGTTTAGACAAGCGGAGTAGTGRACAAACATTTTGCGGKGTAACCCCGTACCACTCCACTCCGYAAATCTAAACTTTAAATACTTATAACTCATAAACTACTCGTCCAAAATTCGATTTTTACGTATCAAAATAATTAGAAAAAAGTAAATACTTTTTTAAATAATGAGTGTTCAATGATAAAAGAATCACCCCGTATAATTAATTATAATACTACTATTATAATAATATAATATAATTATTTTTTTGAGTAAAATAATATAAGCAAGCAATAAATACCTTTTAATTTCACCGCAAGTTGCACGGGTGATCGCGTCTATTGTGATTGCAGTTTCCAAATGTATGCCTTTGCAAATCTTCTACAAAGAGTAAAAATTTCAGATATTTATTACATATTTAATTTGAATGGTCGTTTATATACAGAGGTTAAAGTGGGGAAAAATTCCAGAGGGGACTGATGTCTCCATAAAGTTTTAAGCGTTCCATATATAATTTTWGGTATAATGTCTAATGTATAAAATCCTAATTTGTTAAAGGGGACGCTTTTTAACCGCCGTCAGAGGTAAGGGGACTGAGTCCTCCTGCGTCCCCCTCCACTTTAACCCCTGTATTATATACATAATATATAATACTCCAACGCAATAATTTGTCACTCATTATTTAAATTCATCTTTGACTTACAAGCAGTGTTTAAAATTATCTAGATAATAATCTAGATGCAAAATAACTCATCTATTATTTTATCTAGATAACTATTTTGACATTTATCTATTGTTTATCTTAGATGATACATTTACTTACATATCTAGTTGCATTTTATTTAAATCATATTAATTTTTCATGAATAATATTCATTTTTTTTTTTTACTAAAATTGTTTTATCTAAACACTATTCAACTGCTTTACTAGTACATATAATATTACCAAATGTACCTACTATGACCTATTAACTATTAGTTACTTTATGCTTACATTAGTAAAGATGTAAATTTTTTATTTGAATAATAAAGTAAAAATAGTTTTATCTACTATATTGTTTAGATAAAAGTTAGATTATTTTTAACTATTTTAAGTAAATGTAAATTGTATTTATCTTTATCTGTATCTAGATAAATTTCTAGATAATTATCAGCTGACAGCTGTATCTTATATTCTTATCTAAGTACAATTTTCGTTATCTACTATCAACACTGCTCACAAGTGGCACGTTGTGGCTAGTGACAAGTATAGATACTTATTTCTCACCTCCACCTACCTCCATAGAGTGTCATATATGAATTCAAATAATAAGCGATAAACAATTGCATTGTCATTGTTCCAAAATGTTTTTAAATCTTTAGTTTAGATAAACATTTGAAATCGTCAGAATTACGAATCATTAGGTTATAAGTTTTAATTAAAATCGAACAGATTGATATTTACTTGTCATATGACGCAATCGGTTGACCTCTTAATTTAGTCCCATAGTTTGTTTTTATGTATTTTTTTATCTGACACTACAGTAATGGCAGCAACAAGTCCATCCATTCTTTTCCTATAACAGATTAAACAGCTCTTCAATAATATATAGCTTGTGAACAATAAAAATCAAATTTCACTCACAATACATTTTAAATAAATAGGTATTATTAATTTATAGTACTAAATTAAGATGTCTTATTTATTATTAAATATATTTAGCAGTTACTATTTTTATTCGCAGTTTCGTCTTTCTTACTACACAAAATATTATTTATTATAGAATAATTTGTTTTTGTTTTATAGTACCTACCTAAACATATTTAGTGTATAATACCTATGTTATATTTTATTCTAATTCTATATAAATAAATTACGTATATCTTTTACATTTTATTTTACTGCCAGTTAACATACATAAACTCTTTCAAGTCTCAATTATAATACAAATATAACATTTTTATGGCACAATAACCTAACTTATAATATATCACTTTGATCATAGGAGTGTGTAGACTCCTGTTTCAGGTGTGGCTTTTATTTTTATTTTTTTTGACGATCAACTCATGGCAGTTTTGTATGAACAAAACCTCTTTTTGAAAAAATAAAAAAAATAAAATAGACATACAAAACATGGATTAAATAAAAATAAACAGAACAAATTATGATTTTCTAAAAAAGTTAGTAATTGACTCTTTTATCCAAGTAACTACCTAAAAAAAAAAAACACCTAACTTCAGGTGTAGTTGTAGCTCTATAAGCATCACTCATATGGTGCCTTCGACCTCAATATAATAGTATAGGAATATCTAAACATAATAGGTATGACTTTTACGCACTCAAACATGCATACAAAATGAGCGCTAAACATAACGTCTTAATAGTTTAGATATGCGTCCAAAAAAAAATACTGTTTCCTAAAATAGGTAATCTATTATATTCATCATACTCGTGTATTTTTATGTTATCGTAGATATGGACCACTTCTTGTTTGAGTGTATGACAAAAAACCCATTATTAACAGATGAAGACACACTTAAGGGTTGGTATGTAATGTTATACGACCGAACTGCCAGATGGTCTGAACGTCAAGACTACAGATGTGCTGTGAGTATACAATGTATAACATGCCTATTCTTATGTTATCACATTAGACGACTTCCTACGAAAACCAATTTAATTAATTWATTGTGGGAGTAGAGGAGCGCACGCAAACGACGTCGTGAATTCGTATACACACACTCGTTTATTAGATTCTAATCGGCGTGAATGTAATGATTTTAAAGTGGTATTTTTCTGTCTGCCACCAATATTTGGATAATATAAATCCAATTCTCAACATCAGAATTTTATCTAATAGAAAAATTAATCTAGTTTGTACTTTAGAGAAGACAAAATTGAAAATTCCAAGTAGTTTTTTAAACACAATATCTGCGCTCACAATCGTTTTTCGTATGTAATGATTTATCATTGAATTTAAATATAACACATAATACATTAAAACGACATGCTTGATAACTACTGTACAGTAGAGTCAGTATACTGACTAGTTCATCTTTTTTAAACACAAAATTCATAAAAAAAAAAATAGAAAATACCTCTAGGCTATAAATAGTGTATCTTTCTGGTGATTTCTTTTTGTTAGGTTAAGTCATCATTTATGACTAATTTAAACATTCATACATTACATATATATTTCTTATGGTAAACAGTTGTGTGCATTATGTCAAACATAACGTCTAAACATCAACTAATTGCTAATACCAATCAGCAACTTATCCATAGTAGCCTTTTAAAAAGAAATATATTTAACGAGAAAACATTTAAAATTATTATAGCTACAGTAGATCTCTGATCGTTTTTTATCGCTGACTTAGAATTTGTATAATACGCCATTTAACTTTAATCTTATTGCAGTGAAATCAGCTATCCAAACACAAAATGACGTTGATGGTTGTGGCTAGAGTTGGGTCTTGGGTGTACTTATGTTATTCTATAATATAAATGTACGTTACGGTTGATTAATCTATTTTTTCCCCTTTCTGTTCATCTTACTGCAGTTATACGAAACAGTCAAAGAAGATCCACCGATGATTAAGATGGTGATTAGTGCGAACCAATCGTGCCATGGTCTTTTAAAGAAAATTAAAGCACCTGAGTATACCGTTCCTAAGGGACTTCGTCATTTTTCTGATGGGTCGATAGCTCTTCAAATCAGTAAAGACTTGCCACAAAAGCCCATATGGAGAAAAAAGCGGTCAGAAGTACGAGGTGGTGGATGCAGGTTAGTGTTGTAGCGAATACATTACACGTCATATAATTTTATATTATAACATCGTATTCAGTAGTATACCCAGGAATTTTATTAATTAGGGTTTATACTCACAATGCTCAATTTCTAAATACTTTTTTTTTTAGTCTCCACATACACGTATAATTTACCTAGTTAGCGTCATAATTAACATACTACATATTATGTTATAATTATGCTATTATACCAAAAAGTTAGCAAACATTTATAAATACATTATAAAAAATGTTGACTTATTTAGTTGTTAATATTTGAGTAGTATTAAAATAATAAGACTCTGTATTATTAAAAATCTAAGTACTTATGTTCCCAAATATAACTGAACAAAGTATCTTGTACAGCACTAATCGTCATTTTATATTATATGCTAGGACCTTGATAGTAATATTATTTCAATAATATAAATGTGTTGTCACCAATTTAATGAAGCATTATATTGTACATTTTACATTACGAATAATCAAATTTACATATACATATTACAATTAAATGTAAAAAGAATTCCATGTATAATATTTTGATATTTTAATTTTAAAGCTACATTATTATATTATTTTATTTTTCAAATGTAAATATGTTTTTTTTTTAAAGAATTAATTATAGGATTTTTAGTGCATTCAATTAACAACCCTAAAAGGGCTTATTTATAGATTCTCAAATATTATTTAACGATACAAACAGTTAATTTAATCAAAGTATTTGTATGGATATTTAAAAACAAATGTATCATTATAAGAGATCAAATGTTCATAGTATAATTCTCATATGCTACAGTCATTGTTTACTATAAAAATAAAATTTAATATTTTGCATATTGTGAAATAGTTTACTTATAAAATGTATAATTTAGGTTTCCAGATTGGTCACAAGGATCATGGACAGATTTACAAGTAGATGGAAGTCTAGTGCGCTATGATTCTGTCCACCATGAGAAAGATGACGTTGATTATGGTCAAGAAAGTGACTATGGAAAAGAAGGAGATGTAGAAACCACTGGAGGTCAACAATACATGCAAATGTCGCAGCGACAAAAGAGAGATTTGTGGCGGGAGCCAAAAACGAAAATAATAGAGTATTTCAGGGATATGCAGTTTAAAACCCCTCCCAAAAAACGAGTACCAATGGAACAGTTTTCCAAGACAAACAAATATCACGGAACAACACACAGTCCCGCTAATTCAATTAGGAAAAAGAGGTCTACAAATGAAGATTTGGACGAAAAATATAATAGTACAGAAGGCAATGACGCAACTTCTGTAAAAAATACTGATAATTTAGATGACTTTGTTTTTAACGATTTAATACACCAGTGGAATATCTTACAGACTCTTCCAATGGTCACAAATCATAGCTGGGAACAATTCAAGAGAGATACAGCGGATTTTAAAAAGATATCATATTATGTTCCATTCATTTCAGATCAAATTCGAAAAACAAAAGACCTGAGTAAGCAACATAATCATAGCGAGAAAAACCCAAATAATGAAAAGACGAAATGTTATTGTCATCATAATGTCAAGGATTTTACACCTTTAAATGATAGAGATCAAATAGAAATTGTAAATAAAGTAAATAAATATTTTCCAACAACTAAAAAATACTCTGAAGACTTAAATCAAAAATCAAATTTTCTYTTTGATTCTATTCAATTTCAAAAAAAAAGGCAATTGGATGTCGAGCAAGATCGTATCGAAGACTATCTTAATTTAAGTGATGAGTTAAAAGGAATAGAACGTGGTGAATTGACAAATGTTGAAAAAATTTCTMAAAAATATCCTGACTCTTTGAACAAAAGTGCAAGTGTTCCGTCCAAAATAGTACAGCGAAAAAAAAGAGAAGTGAAACATTTATTTAATTTTGGTGAAGAAGATATTAACAATAACAAAAAGAAATGTTACTGTTATAATGATTTTGAAGTTTTTAAATTACTAAAAATATTTGACGAGATGAATAAATATTTGGCAAATACTCAAAAACATCCTTTGAATTTGAACAAAAAATCAAATTTCCCTTTTGATTTTGATCAACTTCACGAAAAAAAAGAGTTGGGTAACCAATATATTCATACCAAAAACGATACAAAACATCGACAGAAAAGATGCTGGGGTACACCAGCAAAAACAACAACAGAACGTTACAGAGATGCACAGTTTGAAAACCCCAAAAGGGGTGATCCAACGGAACCATCTTCCAAACCAAATGAACATTTCGGAACGACACAAAACCCCGCTGATCTTATTAGAAAAAGGAGATTTATAAATGAAGATTTGAATTACGAATCTGAAAGTACAGAAGACGACGAGGAGGCAGCCCTTAGAAATATAAAAATGAAAGATAACTTTAATAGGTACATGCGCTGGCGGAATATCGTAAATGCTATTTCAATGATCAAAAATAGTATAGGGACGTCAGAGGAAAAGATTAATAAAAATGAATTTGAGGTATTCCCTGAGAATGCACCATTACCACCTCCGATAACGTATTTTAAGTTCGCTGAAATTCAAGGAATCCCGTATAGAGAAGCATTAATAAATTGGCGGAGTTTAGAACGTGCGTATCTTCAGAAGGAAGCTGAAATCGCTTACACTGCCTATCCTGGCCAAAATCATCCAGATATAGTCATAAAAGATTTTGACCAAACATTCGATGGTATAGAATATGACTTCAATCCTCTGTATCCCGAGGGCACTGATGAGGACCCGACAGCCTACCGGGCTCTTACACTGCCAGATGGTTACCATATAAAACCCCGACTATCACGCCGTGCAACATACGAACAAAAACAGTTAAGTGGTGCCTCAAATTCAGCCACTGTGGTTAGTCATTTTCAAGTTGTCGGTTCTAACCCATCAAATTACCGTACAAACCAGGAAAATACCCCAAGTTTAAATCAACGGTTGAAACGCAGTTCTAAACAACAGAATCAACAACAGCGTACAACGACGAAATTTTCGTGGAGTTGTGAGATGCCTGTTGTTAATGACGAAAAATATCTTAAACATCCTGAAAACGGGGTCAAGTTCCTCACTTATGGTGGCCGTATTGTAGAAAATAATGTACAGACAGGCAATGATCAACAGTAAGTCAAAGTTTTAAACCATTTTATAATAGTACATTTSATTAACTATGATGAATTTATAATAAGYATGAATGTTTTATTGTTTTAATAGTAACGAAAATTATTCAAAAAATACATACAGTTGCTTGTGGTTAGTTCCTAGAGGGCCAAACATTTTGGAATATTCCATAATAGGTGAGCATTTATTGTGTATTAAATATTGATCATCTTACTATAATTTTGAAAAATAAAGTAATATTACTATCGTTAAAAATATTAATGAAAATGTAATTTAAAATTTTCAGCAACAGGAATGCCTTCAAATAATCAAAGTATACACACTTTTGCACGGCAATTGTGCAGTAAAACCCGTGCGAATGGTAAAGACACTGGTGTCCGAAATGAAAACACGCTTCAATCACGCCGGCCATCGTGGGTAACTGTAACACGTGAGTATACTCAGTGGCATTATATATTATATAAACTTGCATAATAGTAGTTGATTTTTCAATACTTARTTTTTATAGGAGAAAGAGTGCCTATGTATATATTTTTAGTAAAATGTATGGGTTATAATACAAAAAATTTAAAATATATAACCGCTTTAAATTTAAAATTTTTTTTTTAAATTCATTTTAWRWARTRWKTAGTAAATCCTTTGAAAAATACCTATAACGCAGCAGGTAGTGTGAGTAATTTAAATGTGGTTAATATACYAAAAACAATCGTTTAGTTTTGTAACATTCTTCATTCATTCATATTTAATTTTTAACTCAACTTAAATAATTTAAACCTAATTATTTTTTTACTATCTATTATCATTAGAAATRTAATAAATATTTAAGACCATAACCTGATAATATGAAAGTTACCTAATAGTACTGCTAAATTATTTCTTAAATTATCGAAAATTTGTAGGTATCACTCAAGAGAAACTAGTTCCTACCAGGTGTCCTGTGTCTCCTGGTGTAGTGTTCTACGGCGTGGTTCCAGCTCCACCACCACCTTCTACGGTAGCCACAAACAAAGTCCAGGCCGCCCCATTGCGACTATGTGCCAGGTTAGTATCTTCTGCTGATGACTGTGCGACCGGACAAATGGGACCAGCTGACCAAATGAAATATACTGTGTCCGAATGCGTTGATCAAGACTCGTCAACTGGAACTGCTCAAACAGTGATTGCAGCTCAAACAATCTTTGAAGGTAAGTTTATTATTATTATAAAAATTAGTTATTTTGTCGTGATAATTGTTTAGTCATCAGTATTCAAACTTTAAACAAATGTTATAACGTGTGTGATTATCATATACCCGTATCCTATATAGTAATGGAATGAATTACAAAAAATAAAAATAAAAATAAATTGCATTATTCATTATTYAAAGAACAGTTAATTGAAGTTGAGTTATTCAAAATTTAAACTTGCTGTAATCATATTAAACTTAAATATTTTAGATTCTAAGCATAGATTTTACAAYAATAGATTTTTTGTATGTTTACACAAAAAGTAGACGAATGCTTTCATTTTMAACAAATTCTCTTGTGGTTGTAAATTGAATATGGTTAAAAGGTACTTTTGAGAGGTCAACAATTTTCTAAAAATTTTCAAAAGCATCTGAAAAAAAGAAGATTATGAAAAAACGAAATTTATTACGAAAAACCAGTTTCTGATACTTGATTTTAATATGAATTCTGTTGAATCATAATATTTTCACTGAATGTTTTTAACATTTGAATATCAAYTTATTTTGAYTTTTTCGAGTTCTTAAGGCATAAGAAATTTCTAATTTTATTTAGTTTAATTATTATCGATAAAAATTATTCGAGGTTAATTCAAGGTTCCTCATAACTTATTGTTAATGGAAATTTAAAAAAAGTAAATACACGATATTTCTTTATTAGCGTCTGAAATTAGAATTTTGGTAAAATTTATCAAATTACTTTTAAATTGTTTTCTATTTATGTCTAAAATTTGAAAATTTAATATACTATTCTTTATAATATTTTTTATCCTTTTAATAATAATAATAAATGTTCCCCAAGTCTCAAAATATTTTTATTTTTTTTTTTGAATATTTATGGTAAAAATAGTTAATTTCATTATTAATTGAGCTATTTGTAGATACTTTCATTTTTAAAATTTAAAATTTTTTTACTTTATACGTCGGTAAAATTGTTCTTTGGGTGGGAATGCTAGAAAATTTAAAAACTCTGAAGTTATTATTCTAGAAATTGAAAAATATTAAAGATACATACTACAAATAATTTTTTTTTAACAGCTATTATAAATTTGAAACCTGACAAAACTCATAAAAATCTCAAAAATTGGCAAATTATTTTGTAGATTATTTATAAAATGTTCAATTTTTAAAGATAAGGATTGAAAATTTGTAGTAAGTAATTTATAAAGTTATCAAAATATTTAAAAATATAAGTATTTTTCAATTTTTTCAGATATTTTAAATTAAAATTTGATGTTTAAACTAAGAATAACTATTTTAGGTACATTTGTATAATTTAAAAATTATTATTCATCACCACTCGAAAAATTTTAAATGTTTTATTATTTTACCTACTCTAATTGACATTTTAAAATACTTTTTTTCAGTAATAATGTATTTAACAAATTATTATTTTATTGAGGTATTATTTATGTATAATAGTAAAATAAATTGAAAGCAATATTTCAGAAACCCGTCAAACGCTAAAATGATAAAAAATGTGATATGTTCAGATTATTGTTCCAAGTAATAAAATACTTCGTTTAGTTCAGAAACCAGTCAAGTATTGAAACTCTATGCCTGTTTTATTGTTAGTCAAATAATGTGTTTAATTCAGAAACCCGTTAGGGTWTGGAAGGTTTTTTAAAAAAATGTATTGAATTCATAARATAAGCTTTTAACGTTTTCTGAAATAATCYTTTCAATTACTTTAATAGCAATAATATTATCAAATATACTTAGGCTGACAGTCCGTCATTCCGTCAACCTAACCTTTTATACAATTTAACTAATTTCTATGACTTCTCAAAATAGTAAATACCTACAGTACAGCAAGTCCAGAGTAGTACTTACACACTTTTTCAAATTTTAGATTCTGAGCGGAGCGATGATGTATTGATTTTACCATGAGTGTGTTTTTTTTAAATTAATATCGATAAAAATTTCTTTGTTAAGCAGAAAAGCTTGAAAATTTAATACAAGGCTCTTAATATATTGTTACAATAG